AAATAACCTATAGCCATCCAGAGCATTCCAGGAGGCAGTGCCAGGCACTCACCCGAGGCACCAGTATGGGATCACACGCCCATGGTCCGCTGCATGTCTTGGTGACAATATGAAAATTGTGAGTAACTTTTTTTCTGATTTTTACCCGAATTCGTACGTGAACTTCTATAATTAGTGAAACAACCCAACTGAGCAAAGCGAACATATATTCCAACCCTGAGAGTCACCTTTTTCGATAGCCTCCTTAAGATCCTCCTCAGCCTTCTTTTTAACCTCCCTTCTCTTAGCGAGTTCACCCGTCTTCAGACTAGGTGGTTTCCCATCAAACACATACACTGGTTTTATGCCTACCAACAACATCGCAAGACTAAACTCAATCGACCCCATAGATTCCACAAGTATGTACTAGCACATACATACGATGCGAGCACTGCGGTCTCAGCAATAGGCAAATTCAGCAAACTGAACTGATCCCTCGTGAGCTGATGTATACCGATGCTAGTTTAACTGAACCATTTTCTGGGCCTTGAACATGAAACCCTCGTACGCAATAAGGGTTGGATATATATCATCGGAGTTCCACCCTAGTGATATGAAAAACACTAGTGAAGAATATATTTCACGACGACTGCATATCACCGCGAACATCGCGTTATTCACCGAGTTTTACACCACTTCGCGTAAAACGAGTGAAATTCCATTATACATTTGCACATATTTTATTGTACATTCAATTCAACTCCTCACATGTTCATTGCTTTTTTCCAAATTTTCCGTTTAACAATATCATTATCGTCCAGCCGGCCTCTGGAGATCTCTACTGTATAGTTTGGTCGCGTAATAGGTTGAACCAGAGTAAGACGAAATCGAGAGACCATTCGCTGATCCAAAGGCAACCGCGAGTTCTGATGATCTCCTCGACTTATTAGCAGTTCTAGATAGAAGTGGTCACGGTGTGGTATGTGATAAAGCATTGAATATTGGCTATAGCAATACCATCCCTCGCGCAACTTCCCAAACCCACCAGCTTCCATCATCCTCAGCGTCCTGGTCACCATCCCCGAGATATGAGAAGTCACCTCTCCCGCCGCATTGGTAAGGTTAGCATGCTGATTGTCCCCTCCTAGACGCACCGCTATGACGAACTGAACACATAAGTCTTCACTACGACTCTCCCTCTGCCCAACCGTTTACTTGCACTTCAATACGACTACTACTACTACTACTACTACTACTACTACTACTACTTCTACTACTACTACTACTACTACTACTACTACTACTACTACTACTACTACTACTACTACTACTACTACTACTACTACTACTACTACTACTACTACTACCACCCCATTGCGTACAGTTGAATATATTAACTTCAAAGAGAACAACTCTATGAGTCTATTATTAGTTCCTCTAGCGCTAAGACATCCCAAAACACCTCCATGAGCGACGACGATCATCATCTCAGAAGTCTGTTGATATCACATCCCACATAGATCGTATAAACTAATAAATGGACTGCTGTATGACAGCTATTCCTATACGATGTTTATGCAACTCCCCCGACTGCAATAAAATCCCTTCCCACCTGATACAGACACATACTGGCATCCACAGCTAAGCTCCGTCCAGTGTAGTTCTCCATCTTCTGCTCACTCACCGCCTTCGGGGCGTTCTCCGATACGAACTTGAACAGTTGTTTGATTCCCATTAGGTGCACTAACAGACTGGGAGCATCATTTTGCACGCATGCACAAAAGATATGTGGATTGAGGCAACCCAAGGTAGGTTAGTCCTTGTCAAGAGAAACATCATAGCATAAATTCCAATGGACAATCAAATACCATCAACATGTCGATGATTACCACACGTGGCCGTGTCCTGACCTATTTTGTATCTTCACTGCTCAACCTCAAGATTCTTCGATAATTTCATCGGCCCAACTCCTCCACCAGCACTCCCAGACGGGGAACTTCCACTCACACTTCCCACCCAACGCACAAGCACGTCGTTTTCCCAAACACCTTTCCGAGTCTGACCAAACTCAGTGGTATATCTGCATTACAAAAAAGCGCGCGCCCTGGTAATCGATAGAGTATACTACTCTCCTTCACCATGCCTCTTGCCAGCAATCCACCATCCAACATACTTTCGACCATCGGGCCACTCGAACGTCCCTAAACGCGCGTGCACGACTCTACTACTGTGCTTTCGTCTCTCGTCGAATTTGGCGAATATTCATATGATTTTCCAACATGATGCATGTATCGACATAACAAATACACACTAAAAGTTTGATTAGTTATATCGAGCCCTCGATCGATTCATCGTGATGCAGTCGTCTTATCCGACCTAATTCGTATCCTGCGTGGTTGAACCTAAGATACCCTCACCATATCCTTCCTTCCTATCATCAACATACTGTCCTTGATAGACCATTGGGCCTCCCCGGTCTCCCGCAACATGCCATTCCATTCGCCCTTCACCATGGAATTTACCTCCTTGGAAGGTCCCGACGTATCTTAGGTTCGACATTGTAAGATACAAAAGAGGTCCGGAGGAGATCTCAACTCACATTCGGCCATCCGCCCAAGTCTGAACTCCCTCGCCATGTGGTTCGTTCTTCATCCATCGACCTAACAATCTTTCGAACACTACACAATTAGACAAAAAATGGGAATCTTTCGACCTTGATAGTAGCCTCCTGGATACTCCCATCGGCCTTCCCCTTCTCGCTGACCATCGACGACATCTCCAATGTACTTCGACCCGTCCGAGTACCTGATACGGCTGCTATGCGGAAGGTCCCCGGTTCGAATCCCCGCAGAGTTACCGGATTTCGCTTCGCTCCGCCTTTTTTGTTCCAGTCGACGTCGATGGCGATTGAATTCTCATGGGCAGCGAATTACGACTCGACGAGCCAGAAGACAGAGTAAGCTGCAAGATCAGAAATCGATCGTCTGGGCGAGCGCGTTCTTGCAAGGCAACTTACCCGAGGCACGTGAGCACCGAGAGAGGCCGCACTGCTCGAATTTCGTGGCGCGTGACGATACGTTCCACCCGAGGCCACTCTCGGATAGATGACCCCTCCCGATTTTTGACGATTCATCTCGAGTGCACCGTCGGCTGAAAGGATAGCACGGGGATATCTTTAGGTCGAGCGCGCAAGATACGGATCAGGTCAGACCAGCGGCTCAAACATCCCCAGCTCACAGTGCAACTCACAGCAGGGCAAGTTACCAACAGTATTCCCCATTGGACAAAAAGGCGAAGCGAAACTATAAAACATCACCCGATTACATAACTCTAACGCAAATAGCGCTCGCCCTGATGATCGATTACGATTTGACAATATTATCATGCTCAGTAGTTGAGTAGTCCACTTATCGGATTCAGATGGGTGGGAGAGGTATCTTACGAGAACCAACCCATACAAATAAGATGTTTAGATCCGAGCAGAACACCCGAGTTCGATCCCTGGTCCCTCCTTCTCATTCGGACTCTATCAGATGCCAGTGACGAAGGGGCTGAACGAGATGACTCATCCAACCAGTGATGCGAGGCA